TTCCTTTTTTTGCTAGGGGCTTTTTATTTTGTTGTTGTGTTTTTTCAAAGAACCAGCTTTTTTTTGTAGGTTTTTTTTTTTTTTTTTACTGTGGCTCACATCTGTGATTCGTATTACATACTCTATTGGATGGTGCTGATTTTAAGCACTGAAACCTAATATTCATATAGGTAATCAGTTTGAAATAAACTTTCAAAGACTATAAAAATTTTCTTTTCTATTTCTGTACACATTTAGATAAATAGTAAAGAATAAAACATTGTAGTAGTAGGTTGGAAATTCTAGTTTTTGACTGATAGTTCATTAGACAGCTTTTGTAGAAAATAATGTGGTAGGATTTTACGTATATATATATAAATATATACATAATATGTATGTGTATATAGACATATATATAATTAATTTTCTTTTATTTTCTCCTCCTTACCCAATGCCTCTCTCAAATTCCAACTAGGGAGATGGACCCTTTGTGATACGTAGTCTTAAGGGAGGTCTGTGTTAACAGGCAGAAAGCAAAAGTTGCTTGCAGATTACCTACATTCATGCTTTAGTTTTCAAAGAGCCTGAATGTAGGAGGTGAGTTGTCTTTGAGGGCAAAAAGAGACAGAGAGGAATAATTCCCCAGGCCTAGGGAGAGAATAGAGATCCCAGAGTTCTGTGAAAGTCAGTGACCCTTAACCAACCCCCAGAGTGCCAGGTTCCCCTGAGGGAGTGCCAGGTCCTAGTGAATAGCTATGTAATACACCAAGGAAGAAATTTCAGAAACAAGTATGAGAACTGAACATTAAAGAACTTCCTTCACTTCCTAGGTAACACAGATGCCACCTAGATGCTGGTGTAATTCTAGGGAGAAGGCAGGATGTCAATAATGACTGATTGGTCTCTTGCCAGTTTGACTGGATGGTAGCTCACAGGTGGATTTCTTAGAGCTATTTGGCAGTACAGGGATTAAATACAGTAAAGGAGAATTAAGCCTTCTATTTATAAATATCGTGCTTCTATTTTCTGGGAGTTTTTCTATGTAACTTGAGAGTCAGGTACACATACTCTCCCAAGATAATTTCAGCAACAGACATGGTGACACAATAAAAAATATTTTAGCTCATATTTCTTTATTAATTGACCTCAAAAAGTGTTGTTTGGTTTTTTCCTTAGTTTCTATATCACAAAAACGAAGAGTTTAAAATAAATAATGAACTCTAGCTTTAGGAAATTTAGCAATAAATCTGTGATGCAATTCAATTTTTCATTGAATTTTAAATTTGTACAAATCAACAATTCTTATAAGTTAGTTTCTTTCAGACCTTAATGCTGACATATAAAACCACTGCCTTACTTTATTTTTTTTGTTTGTTTTTTGTTCTTTTTTGCGGTACGCGGGCCTCTTACTGCTGTGGCCTCTCCCATTGCAGAGCACAGGCTCCGGAAGCGCAGGCTCAGCGGCCATGGCTCACGGGCCCAGCCGCTCCGCGTCATGTGGGATCTTCCCAGAACGGGGCACGAACCCGTGTCCCCTGCATCAGCAGGTGGACTCCCAACCACTGCGCCACCAGGGAAGCCCCATTGCCTTACTTTATATTTGCTGGTGTTACAAAAAAATCATACAGTACTTGAAAACAAAGCAAGAAAGTAGGTAACACATTTTTTCAATGTCATAAAAGTATGAAGAACACCCAACGATTATGCAGGGTATGTGCTTACTTAGACTTACTGTACATTACTGATTAAAGGACCCAGACTTAGTGAAAATACACACACACACACACACACACACACACACACACACACACACATAAATTTTTTAAGTGAAGTTATAGTAACTTGTAGATTTCTGTCCAGTGGAAGACAGCCCTCAAAGTTATGGTTTATTGTCCTGTATCTAACTACACATCTGAACATTCCTTTACTAAAATGCATATCCAATTACATAGACATAGTTATAGTCATAGATATTTATAGACATATATACAGATATAGATATAAAGACATATAGCATTTCAAATGCTATTCAATATTTGAACAAGTTTTAACATATGACTGGTTCCTTCAATTAATGAGTTGAATAAAATCTTTGACATGTGTTTATTTTATATTGTTATGAAAGTCATAACTTTATCTTTTTGAAAATTATACTTTGTAATTGGTAATAAAGTCAGTTGCTTTACCTTCAAGCCTTCTGGTCCTGATTCACCTGCATACCCATTTGGACCTGGTTTTCCCTAGAAGAGAACAGGAAAAAAAAAATATGTTTAATCATTCTTATTTTTGAAAGTTTCCTAATTTATGAAATTCAGACTACCCTATGAGATGAAACATTTCAAAATTATTAGATGAATGCATTTCATCAAACTCATTAGCCATTCATTCTACCATGTTTGACTGTCTACTTGCCATGCACATCTCTAGGGTAAGATAATTAAAAAAAATAAGTAAAATACTTAGTATGTTAGGTAGTGGTAAATTTGAAGAACATCAAATTAAGCAGGAAGGGAGATATAAACTGTTGTGGTAGTTTTGTTAAAATTTTTGGTAAGACTGCCAAAAAAGACCTCACTGAGAGGTGAGTAAAGACTTTTAAAAAGGCACAAGTTACATGGATATTTGAAGGAAGAGCATTCCAAGCAGAGGCGAAGAGCATGTGTAAAGGCCCTGAGGCAAGAATGTGCCTGTGTGTTGGAGAAACGATGAAGAGTCAATGCAGCTGGAGAGAGTAAGAGAGGAGATTAATAAGAAGTAGAGGGATAAGAAGTGAATGGGGGATATGAAGCCAGGTCACGAAAGGCCTGGCAGGTTACAGTAAGGGCTTTGGTTTTAACTCTCAGTGGCTTTAACTCTTAGCAGGCTTTGAGAAGAGAAGCACCAGGATCTATGTTTTAACAGGATCACTCTGATGTAAGAGCAGAAGCAGGGAGTCCAAAGAGGAGTCTACTGCAATAATACAAGTGAGAGACAACAGTGGCATTATCAGGGTGGGAACAGAGGAGGCTGTGAGAAGTGGTAAGATTCTGTATATAGTTTGAAAGCAGAGCTTCCAGGAATTGCTGATGGGTCATGTGTGGAATGTGAAAGAAAGAGAAGAGTCAAGAATGAACTCAAGAATGAGTTCATTCAGCTTTAACCTGACTAAAGGGCCAAATGAAATGAGGTAGACTGTGGGAGAACCGGTTTGAAGGGTAAATTGAAAGCTTAGCTTTGGACATGTCAGTTTGATAATTTTGTTAGACATCTAAGTGGAGAGATCTTGTGGTAGTTAATACAAGTGCAGAGCTTAGGGGTAGAAGGTTCTGAACTGAACATATAGTTTTGGAAATCACCAGCATTTTGATGGCATTTAAAGCCATAAGAATGGACCAGCTCATCTAGGCAGTGAGTGTAGATAGCAAAGAGCAGTCCGCAAACCAAGCCCTGGGGTACTCTAAAATTTAGACTTTGAAGAAATAAGGAAAATATGCAAATCTGCTGCCAGAGAACTAGGAGGAAGATAATACAAGTGAAGAAAGTCTTTCCAGGAGGAGAATGATCTTGTCAAATCTGAGGGATATAAATATTGAGTAATATGAAGACTGAGAAATGATCACTGAATTCAGCAACATGGAGGTCATTAATGACCTTCATAAGGTCAACTGTTTCAGAGTGGTGGGGACAAGAATGGTTCCAGCAGATGGGGTGAGGAGAAAAATTGGTAAAAGCATGTAAATCCAATACTTTTGAGAAGTTTTCCTGAAAAGGGAAGGAGAGAAAAGTAAAACCTGGTAGGAAAACCGGAGTCAATACAAATTTTGTTTTTGTTTTTAAGCCAGAAGAAATAATAGTATGTTTATATGCTGACAGGATTGATCCATTAAAGAGAACAAAGTTAAGATGTAGGAGAGAGTGGGGAAAACTGCTGGATCAACGTTCTTCAGTAGGCAAGACGATGTAGTATGTAGTGAATGAGTGGAAGTTTTGACCTTACCTAGAAAAATGGCCTGTTCATCCACAATAACAAGAGAGAAGGCACAGTAAATGGCATAGATACAGGGAGGTGGGATTGAAGTGATGGTAGAAACTTGTGAAAGTTCTGATTACTTCAATCTTCTCAGGGAACTAAGATGCGAGGTAAAGGGCTAATAGAAGTAAATGGAGTTGAGGAGAAAGTATAAAATAATGATTTAAAAATGTGAAAGTAAATGGGTATGGAAATAGAATGTTATCAAAGGGAAAATTAAAATGTTTTAAGCATGATGAGTAGGGATATGTGGTGATGAGAGAGATAAGGAGTAATGGAATGGCATTAGAATCAATGAATTGAATGCACCAGAAAGAAAGGGGATGATGGTTGGGGAATGAGAAGTTTAAAATTGAAAATGAAGAGGTTGCTCTTACTGGTAATGACAAGGTCAAGGGTTTCACCATAGCAGTAAGTAGCTGAAGAGAGTAGAGGATAAGATCCCTGAAGGAGAGAAAGTCAATATCCTGGAGTAATCCACAGTAGGTGGTTTCTAATATCAAACAACTGATGTCTGATTATGCAAGATTTGATTAAGGAGATCACTATACCTCAACCAATGTGTTCTAGGAGTAGCAAAAGTGTGGGGGGAGATTGCTAAAAAGAATACTAATTTATAATATCTACTAGGCATTATATATTTGGATTTTATTACTCCTATTCATTAACAAGTACTCGCATATTTTTCTTTCTTAAAATAAAATAAAGCAAAACAAAACAACCCTCTGGCTCTCATTCTGTTTTGACTACATACAAAAACTTTAGCAACTTAAAATTATATTTAGGACATCCACCCAAAAGGTTGTTCTAATTTTGGTCTCTGCCTTGCTTGAAATTGTCTAGTGGTTCCCTACCAAGCACAAAATAGAGCAAAGGATAAAAAATTATCCTATTATTGTTAAATATCGCTCTCTAATCAATTTGCAGATATAAAAGAAGAAATGTAGTTAAGATCTAAATCATTACAGGACTTTGATATTTACAAAATAATTAATAACACATTTTATTCACACTGTCTGGAAAAAGCCTTAGCAGGAATATTTCTTTCATCTTTAATAATGTAATACTCAGGCACTGCAGTATATTAAGAAATAGTTATACATCATTATCTACATTATGGAAAGAATCTCACTGGTATCAGGCATTGGCATATTTATAATCTCTTTGAAATCAAGCGATTCAGAGCATCGGTACTGGAGCCATCACTTTTGGTCCTGTTTAAGTTCTGTCATATTACGGTTATCTTGAGCATGTTATGTTTAAGCCTACAATATTAAAGCCTTATTTTTTTAAATCTAAAAATGCAGTCAATATCTTGCAGAGTTGTTTTCAGATTAGGGATGATTCCTGTGACAAACTTAGAGCAACACTAGGCCTAAATTAACATTCAACCAATAGTAGCAACAATTAATAACAAATATTATGACCGAGTAGGCAAGAGGTGAACATGGTTTTCCTGTTTTCTAGGGATGTAAATTTTAAATAAGACCAATTATACTGGAGCACAAATAACAATGGTCTTTCCGTTATATAACTCACCTCACAAAAAATGAAAAACAAAGACAACTCTTCTTTTCCATTCAATAAGAGAGTGGCAGTATATGTGCTAGTTAGGTAAAGGTGGAAAAGAAAGAATTACTGTCTCTTTAAATGTAAAAATACTGTAAGAACCTGTACAATATGATGTTCTCAAGTAAAGAATGAGATGTATTTCATGTGAGTCTAATAATGCCTCTTAAAATGTGTTGCACACACCTTAATTACTTCGTGATATTGTAAACTTTTGTCATGCATCCCCAAATTCTTAAAAAATTCATTTTCAGAACTTGAAAATAGGAAATTCATGTATTACCACAGAATATTATTGGAAAAAAAAATGTTGGACAGAAAATACGTCTTATTTGCTTTCCATAATTTTACTGACAAACTCAGAAAACAGAAATTTCCAAAATATTACTAAAATGGTTAATGTATTTAGCTTCATATTACATTTTGAGAAACTTTATAAATAAACTGTACAAATTACTAAGACCGTAAGACTGAAGGAACTGAAGGAATAAGTAAATATGTAACAGGCATAATATCATTTAAAATATCCCTGGAAAATTTTACTTATAGGTCTATTTTATTTGGGGGGATTGTATGGCTATAGTTTGTTATAATCTTGGCTCTTTGCTATAACTTAAAATTTGGTGCCATTAAAAAGCATTTACAAAACAGTTGCTTTAGGAGAAGCACGCTTCGAAAATTATTTATATGATACCTACTCTTAGTCCCAGTTCTCCAAAGGATCCAATTAGTCCTTCTTCTCCCTTAAAAAAGAAGATAAGAACATGTCATGGCCTGATATAAGTATTTAAAAATGTAAACCTTATTCCATTTATCCTGAAATCTGAAGCTCTTTCTGAGATGTAATGAAAATAATACTGTGATTTTCTTGTATTTTAGAACTATATCACCCCATAATGTTTAAATTTTTTGTGTGACAACCTCATATCTACATTAAGGGGGATATGTATTGTACTACTGGGTTATTTTTCAATTGGCAGATGATATAAGTTAAATATAGAAAATTGAGGGCAGCTAAGAGTGAAAGTGATTAGGGTATCACAAAAATCTGGATTAGGAATAACTGAGACTGTGAATTATGGACAGCCTTTACTTTCTTGGGCTCAATACCTCTGACACAGAGAGAAACTCAAGTTCTTAATAGATGGAAATCAATACACATTGGTATATTAAAAGATTATTGGTACAGAACATGTTTGCTCTTGGCACATTCTGATACTTAATTCATTCAGCAAATATGTTTTTGAGTCTCAGTTCTGTCCTAAGCCTTAGAGATAAAGTTATATCAGATCTTACCCAAATGGAGCTTAATGTCTAGAGTTTCTTTTTTCTTTTTTTTAGGTTTTTTTTTTTTTTAGAGTTTCTTTTCGTCTAATTTACAGATCTAATATTTTCGGGATCAAATCAGTTATAATGTCATAAAATATAAAATTTTGTGCATTCTTCTAAGGATTAAACGCTGTATGGGTGGATAGAGAATAGAAAAACTTAAAACAAATAATTTTTATACTTTTTCTCTAAGAGAATTAAAAGGTAATAAATGTGTTTATTCTATTTATTGACATATTTTCTAAACATACTGATTTTTTACCTTTAAATAAATAGTTCATATTTACCACATCTGAACATTTACAGATCTCTTTAGAAATCATATATTCTATTTTATTTATTTAAAAACATTTTGCTCAGTCCATAATTCAATTAAAATATAATATATGGGTTAGAAATATAAAATAGACACAAATGTTAAATATAAATTCCGGTACATATAAGTGAGATTCTAGGCTCAGATTCTTCGGACATTCCATGGACACCGCTACATAAATCACTTAATGAATTCAGAACATTAAAATGATTCCAAATTCCATTCCATGGTAACTTGAAATTCTCGATGGCAAAAATCGTCCATACTAATGCAAAGTTTTCTTTGAGCAAAAACTAAAGTCCCACACAAAATAAAAAAGGAAAATCTGAATTAAAAAATTGATTAAAGGAACTTCATACCTGAGTTCCTTTGAGACCAGGAGGTCCAGGAGGCCCTCTATTTCCAATGAGCCCCTGTAAAGCAATATAAGGACACACAATAAAATTTTTAGCTCAATTAATACATTTTCAATAGGCATTAATCTCAGATGTGCAATACTATTTGGTACCACTCATTTCCCATTAGGAAGTTATCAAAATGGGATGGGAGGATAGATAAGCAGAAAACTGCCTGCCATCCAAAAAGTTGGAAAACATATGATAAACTTACTTTTAAACAATATATTAATGTTCACATAATCTGCTCCATATGGAGACACCTTTTCATAAAAAGTACTCCTAAATTTAAAGCAATAGGCCCAATTGTTAATCTGATACTAGTACAATAAAAAGATAATAGAGTGCCCACAAAGTCTGAAAACAGATGGAGAAGATATATAGTGTTTTAATATCTGTTAAGAGACTAGCAAAGTCTGGAACACATTCATATGAAATGTTCAACTTACTTCCTTTTTTGATGCAGGCTAGTGAAAAGAGAGGAAATTTTGCAGAAGAAAGTAACAATCTGAACATGATTAGGAATTTCAAGATTAAAAGAATACTTTTGTTAATCTAAATGCATGTTGTTAAAAATCAAATACTTTTTTTTTTTAATTTACTTTTTTTTGGCTGTGCCACGCAGCATGTGGGACCTTAGCTCCCCGACTAGGGATCGAACCTGCACCCCCTACAGTGGAAGGGCAGTGTCCTAACCACTAGACCGCCAGGGAAGTCCTCAAATGCTCTTTGAATAACAATTCATCCAAGTAACTAAAACAAAAATCTTCCTATTTCAGAAAACACTGTATATCATCTCTTCAACATGGCAACATTTTTCATTTTGTTCTGTTCCCCAACTATGCAATGTGTCAAAGTTTTAAGTAAATCTCTTTTAAAAACTACCTTTGCATTATTGCTTTTAGTAAGTCTATAACCATTAAATGGTTTTATCTCATTTTTAACTGTAACAAATAACTATGCCAAGTAACAGTTCTACCCAGGTGACTGATCTTTAGTTTGGAATGGAGCAGAGTGACAAAACTGCATGAGAATCTTTCCTTCATGATATATCTTGGTCTATCATTGCTGTGTTCTAACACAATCAAAAAATGAAAAACTTCATCGGTTTAAAAGTCTGTAATATATTATCACAGGCTTATTCTGTACATAAGCACCATTCAAGAAACTGCATCAGTTTAGGCAATAACCTAGAAGTTTTGCACAGCTTTCTTACTTTTAATAGGAAGAGATGGATTATTGAAATGAGCGTATACTGTTCTATGCAAGTCCAACATATATTCATCTTTTTTCAGGCAAAAGCATCCTAATTTTCCTTAAGGAAACAGTCTTTCCCCATGTGGTTTGAGGGGAGGTGACTCTACCCGACTAAATTTAAGGGTGGACATGTGACAGGGACCTAAGTCAGCATATTCTACATCCCTAGAAACAGTGTTTGGTTCAGTAATGAGCCAGAAACCCAAGTTAGTCCAACTAAAGAAAATTTTGGACTACAGTGGAACAACTGGGAAGACAGAATAGCATTAAGGATGATGTAAACCTAAACAGAAGGAAACTATGAAGGGGAGAGAACCTGAGAATGAAATCAATGAATTAACGAATGGAGTGACTGGGTTCTTACGATATTTTGGGGGGTCCTGAGGATAGTTGTGTTTGAATTCCTAAACTTCTCACATATTTATACAATCATATTTTAGTTGAGTTTCCATTACTTACAACTGAAAGAATCCTAACGGATACAATGACTTCTAAATCTTAGTATCCAAAATGCTCTTGTAGAACTCTAAGTAACAGGTTTTTAAATGTTTAGACTGAAGGTCAGAATCAGAATGCTGTGATATTTAAATTCCACCACAGGATAGCTAATGTTTAATTATTTAATTCATGTGTTCATTCATTTTTTTCATCTGACATTTTATTAATTTTCTACTATGTGTAAGGTCCAGTAAAAAGTACAACATGAGGCCTGGAGTATACAAATATAAATAAGACACAGTCCCTGTTCTCAGTGAATTCATAATTTATTATGGGAGAAGGCAATTTAAAATAAAAATCAGAATATGAGTTGTAACAGAAATAGAAGTATGAGCAAAGTGAAAAAGGGGACTTAGATGAAGAAGCAAAATCTTTTCTGGGAGGATCAGAAAATTTTTAACATGTGAAAATAATTTTGTATTGAATTATGATAAGTTAATAAAACATGTAGTTAAAAATAAGAATACACCAAAAACTTATCAACAATTGCAAGGTCTCAAAAGGCATTGATAAAGGTACAGTTTTAGGTTGGAGTATATGTTTAAGAAACTGGCTTAGCTCCATACCCAGGGTGTAACCCGAAGAGGGGTGAGTTATCTAAGAGAACTAGATTCTGCTATTCCCTCATTGCAGCTATTTACCCTAGGGAAGTGGCACCCTGACTAAAAACCAAAAATAACCCTTTCAGGGAGGCAAATAAGCCCAGGTTCCTTTTTCCTTTCTCTTCCAAGACTACCTTATAATCTTAAAAGAATAAAAGCTGTATTAAGCGAGAAAAAAACTAGTTATATGCTGTTTACATGAAACGCATCCAAAACATAAAAATGAGGGAAATTAAATTTCAAAGAATGGGAAGAGATATGCAAGTGATTTACCAGCCCCAAAATAGCTGGAGTAATTATATTAACATTAGATCTAATAGACTTTAAGGTAAAACAGATTATTAGCATTAAGAGGGTCACTCAATAATGATAAAAGGCTATATTCACTAGGAAGAGAAAAGACAATTTTTATGCATTTAGTAACACAACTTCTAAATATATACATTAAAAACTGATAAGGATAAATTGATAAATCCACTATTAGAGAGGAAATTTTAACACATCTCTGCCAGAAATTAGTAGGTCAAGCAGATAAAAATCAGTAGGAACAGAAAAACCTTAAATAGCAAAATTAATAAACTTGATCTAATGGCCATATATAGAAAACTGAATCCCCAAATTGGAGTTTACACAGTCTTTACAAGCATACATGAAAGATTTATGAAAACTAAAAGATACCCACAAGAAAGGATATCTATCAACAGTTCTATCAATTAAAAAAGTGTAGTATATCTATACAGTGTGTTACTATATAGTGAAAATGAACATGCTGTAATAATATGGATCAACCTAGAATGAGCTGAAAAGATAAGACTGAGTGAAAGAAGAAAGTAACTGAAGAATGTATATACAGTAAGTCCCCTATATACGAATGAGTTCTGTTCCGAGAGCACGTCCGTGAGTCCAATTTATTCCTAAGTCCAACGAAGTTAGCCTAGATACCCAACTAACACAATCGGCTATATATATCACTGCTGCTTTTATGCTTGCTTCTGGACATCCTGGGCTTGAAATAAAGATACTGGACTACTGTACTCTATACAGTACTGTACAGTATACAAAAGCACAACCACTTGTAGAGGACACATGCACGTGACAATGCACACCAGACACATGAACTAACTTACGTGACTGGACATGCAAATGCACATTTCTCATCTTTGAAAGTTTGCAACTTGAAGGTTCATATGTAGGGGACTTACTGTGGTATGATTTTATTTATATGAATTTCAAAAACAAGCAAAATAACAAATATTATCAGTATATACATGGTAAAAGTATGACGAAAACAAGAGAACGGTTGTTAATGCCAGAAGGGAAGAGACAGATATGATTAGTGAGGGATGCACAAGGGGATTCCAATGATCTATTTCTTACCAATAATAGGGTTTGTTTCAATATTATTTTTAAAACTGTGTACATGTTTCATATTTATCATGTTAAACACAAAAAATTTTTTTTTGAGTTTTTAAATATTTTTTTTTTATTGGGGTATAGTGGCTTTACAATGTTGTGTTAGTTTCTGCTGTACAGCGAAGTGAATCAGCTATATGTATACATATATCCCTTCGTTTTTGGATTTCTTTCCCATTTAGGTCACCACAGAACATTAAGTAAAGTTCCCTGTGCTATACAGCAGGTTCTCAATAGTTACCTATTTTATATGTATTACTGTGGATATATCAATCCCAAACTCCCAATTCATCCCACCCCTTCTTTCCCCACTTGGTGTCCGTATGTTTGTTCTCTACATCTGTGTCTTTATTTCTGCCTTGCAAACAGGTTCATCTCTACCATATTTCTAGATTCCACATATATGTGTTAATATATGATATTTGTTTTTCTCTTTCTGACTTACTTCACCCTGTATGATATATATAATGGAAACACATAAAAATTTTTAATGTAAAATGTATAAACTCTGAAATTGAGTTTGAATTCCAGCTCTGAAGCTTACTAGGGGCATGACCTTAGTATCCTTATCTGTAGAATCATGTTATCATAAGCATTATAAGGTAATAAATTTTATTTGTTACAACAAATAAAATGGTAACTGGAATATAACAGAGACTCAATAAATATTATTTCCTTCCTCTTATTCACTGCACATTGATTAGTGTTTGCAACAGTTTCTGAACTGGTATTTTGCTTTTCTTCCCTATGCATTCACCAAATTCATAACAATAATTTACTATTATTATTCTTCCTAAAACATCTCTTTCATCATCTCACTCCTCTCAATATCTTCCACAGAGAAAAAGAGTAGAACTCTTGTATGCAGTTGAAGTTAGGTTGTTATCAGCTTAAAACAGAGCATTATAACCATAGGATGTTTTATGTAAGGTCCATGGTAATCACAAAGAAAATACCTATAAAAGATACACAAAAGGAAATCAGGAAGGAATCAAAGCATGTCACTACAAAAAAAAATCAATGAAACATAAAGGAAAATAGCAAGAAATGTAAGAGGGAAAAGAAGTTACAAGACAGAAAGCAATAACAATTAACAAAATGACTATAGTAAGTCCTTCCTGATCAGTAATTACTTTAAATGTAAATGGATTAAAGTCTGCAATCAAGATTTAAAGTGGCTGAATAAAAAAACATCCATAGTTGTATCTATGAGAGACTAAATTTAGATTTAACGACACACATAGGATG